TAAAATGATATTTTAACCTTTAATTATTTTATATTGTGATTGACGGATAATTTTAATATATATTTTTAATTCTTTTAAGGTGTAATTTCAGTTTCTAAATATGTAGACAAACTTCTGTTTACAAGAATAAACACTTGCATTAGTAACAAATGCCTAAGTAAAATCTGTATCTGAATTTGGAAAACGATAATAGTCAATAAATTATTTCTTCAAAGAAATCCAAAATTTTCTGCTTATAAGAAACATAAATGTCACATATCCGGGCACGTACAATTACTTCATTCTGCAAGAGATTCTTTATATTTATTCTATACTATTAAGTCCTTTAGGAATTATAATATAACAGGTTATTATTTTAACCGATTAATCTTCTGAAGAACAACAGAATAACAGAAGGAAACATTGTACTCTAAAGTTTACATCAGCTGAATTCTTTAGATATTTAGAATGTTTCAACATAAAAACTTGTTTGGAATCCATTGTATAGTCTTTTGGAGAATTCTGTTAGTAGTTTACTTAAAGACGCTGTCAGCAGCTCAGACTGACAGCCTCAAATGATGGGATAAATAATAAATTTTAAAGGACGTGGTAGGAAGCGTTTATGGCGTAATTTGAGATCTCCCAGCTGTTAACCTAGAAGAACTGAGGAATACTACGATCTCCCTATTTTTGGAATGATAACCACTCAGCCACGACATTATGCAGAAATTAAATACGTGGACATATATAGGCTTAGTACTCCACGGTGAGCTTGCAGACTCAAATTTTTATATGATAGTCTATTTTTAAAACAAGTTCTCTTTGATTTTCGTGTTAATTGGGGGCTACTCTGAACTGATACTGATCAAAATTAAATTTATCCGAGAAGTTTATGTATTTCCCCTGAGATGTGAACCAAATGTATAAAAAGACAGACGGATATGGGTTTCGCGTCATGATTTCGTGTCATGTACTTTGTAACAAAGAAATCGTAAAATTTAAATATCAAAAGAAAATGGATTTTAAAATTTCTAATACCAGTGGTACGTCCGCCATGTTGTTACAGGTGAGGTATAAATTTAACAGACATAGTCCTTAAAACTTGTACGATTCTTAATATTTCTTCGATGCCCAATTCAACTAAACATCTAGTATTTATTTTCTAATGAAAGGGTCTGCTATTGACGAACGAACTTCTGTGTTTCCTCCCCTTTTGTGGCTGCTTCGCTGTTATTGGCGATTGTAATAAGAAGCTTCCGTCATATGAACACTGTCCAAGAAAATTTCTATATAATTATAAAACAAGAAACTTTTGTTTTCTTTCATTTAACTTTGCTAAAAGAACAAAACTTCTTAGCATATCCTTGAAATTCTCAAAGATCAAAAAGCCACGTGTTTTAAGGTACAAATGCGACTACATTTTCCTTCACCTCTGCACAAAGCAGCATGTGCGGCCAGCGTTGCGTTTTTGTTATTCTTTCAACAAGGTTATCGACACTGGATGGTTTTTAAACAGCGGGCACGCATGGGCCCCAGTGTGTAATGTGTGTTGAAGGTGGCCAGATGGGCCACGGAAGGGGTACAGAATGCCAGGGGCGGTGGGAGGAGAGTTCTGCTGTGTTTCGCGAAGTCTGATCACCGACATTGGCCTTGGCCTGACGGAAAGGCAGGGTGAATAACCTACAGCCCCACTGCCTGTAGTTAAAGGAGTGGCACAGAGCTTTGAGGGGTGAGATAAGAAGCCCTCCCTTCTCTGATGCATACCCATCTGCAGATAAGGAGAGTATTATTGATTTTGATACCCCTCCCGGCCTTCATTCGACAGTTCAAGAGTCTACACAGATTAATGAGACATTCGCATAAGAAGAAATGAATTACAGAGGTATTATTTTCAAGAAAGTAATCGATTCAGTAATTCATTTACAACATATCATGTTAATAAAGGACTGATAAAATAAGCTACTCTTCATATACACAAAAGTTATGCTCGAATTGAACTATTTTAAAACTTTTGCCTCTGTGGATGACCGGACAAAATTTATTTGCCATATTTTTTTTCGTGAACTACTAAAAAGAATTTATCACTCCATTCTGGTAAAATAAGTCTACTTTTAAGCAGCTGTTAAAAGTTTTTTTGTATCTTAGAGAAGTAGAAAAGGAATTTAACGCAGTCAGCTCTTTGACGAGGTTCAGAGAAGGCGGTAATAAATATTTAACTCCACGATTTCATAAATAAATGCCGCGATCTATTATAACAATTTATGCCTACCATTTGTGCGAGCGAGATTAACAATTAGTAGTAACAATATGTAGGTTACCACGTACCTTGACTTCCAATAACTTCTTATTGCCCACAAAATTTATTTATGGGTTTCATTTGACCGTTAGAGTAAACAGCGATTATTTCATTAAATAGTATTAACTACTTGTAATACTTGTAACGGAGATGTGTTGTGATTCCATTGAGGCACGAACTGAAGTTTTATGTATTACTTAGATGGGCGTTGGCTTTAAGGGACTAAGAATAAAGGTTTGAACCGCCGGGAACCTAAGACAAATATCTAATGGAAATATCAAGATGCTGGAAAGAATCTACAGAACCGCAACTTGATTGGAAATAAGATGGCTGCATAACTTCCGGAGTCTTTGATGTTTCTGTATTGTTAATTATTCGGTTTTGTCCGTCTAATCACAATTATATTTAAAATTTACAAATAAGATAATTAAAATATCATTTTATGTTCCACATCGAATAATCGATTTACATTTGGAACATTTTTACAACATGTTTCGGTTTCATCGAACCATCTTCAGGTGTAAAATTATATCAACAAACTTAAAACTCAATTACAATTTCTGTTGTGTAGCTACACAATTTCTGTTGTAAAAATGTTCCAAATGTAAATCGATTATTCGATGTGGAACATAAAATGATATTTTAATTATCTTATTTGTAAATTTTAAATATAATTGTGATTAGACGGACAAAACCGAATAATTAATTTAATATTTGATTCACAATATGACGCAATTATACTATCTTATGAATTAGACGTATTTATTAATAAGGTGCGTATTATATTAGTTGGAGCAGCTGTTACGACAATGGGGAAGAAAATAAGGAATGTATTTATAAGGACTACCGCAAAATAAACGTATACACATATTGTAGGCCTCAAATGAGCCATCTAGATTAGGCAGAGAATATTTGAATTTGATTGAATCGTGTGGAATTTAGCAGTACTGAAAAACTACATACGTTGTTAAATATCTATCATGCCAGTGTTTCTCAATTGGTTGTCTGCAAGACGTGCCTAAGGGTTCCATTAATTTACAAAATTCAACTTTTCAATGTTCATATCTTCTACTGTTTTACGTACATGTTACTTACTTTAAAACAGTACCGTAAAATTTAAGTTTTCCAGGTAAAAAATTGTGTCAGATATAAAATGCTACAGGAACAAATTCAGAACTCGGCTGCGATTTGTGCGCGTGTCAATAGAAGTTGTATTTGAACACATAGGCCTGCTGTGGTAATTTGCCTTTCTTGAACAAATATTATTAAAGATGACGAATATTGACTTAGTTTTTAAAAATAGTGCCAGGTGCAAAATTTTGCCTCTTGGGTTCAACAGGAAAATTATTCTTGGGCTTAGAGTAGAAAATGGTTGGACCATTCCGATGTACGAGGCCTCAGAAGATAAAAATCATTGTCAGTATTCCTCAATTGTACTTTAGCTGGACACTTCTAGGCTGACATTAAAGAACGGAAATCGGCAATCAGGTTTGAACTTCAGAGCGTTCGGAAGAAAGGGCAGGTGAACGTGTGTACCGGAACAACGCAGTTCATCAACCTCAGACCAAGAGTTCTGCACAGCTGCGTTCACCCACACTTAACCAGTGTCAACTGAAATACACATTTATATTTCTCAAAAAATGTTGCTCACCTGGACATGCGCTGTTTTCGCGAAGCAAACTGGGATGACTTTAAAGTTTGTTTGATTTTTTTGCTTGTTTCTTTGTTAGTTCCTACGTTTAGTTACGCTTTCACAGTTGCAAATGCTAAATATATTTTCGGATGAGAAAGTTGTGAAGAATACGGGTCATGGTCTGCTTCGCGGTACTATCCCAGAATTAGCCTGACGGAGGTCGGGAAAATCACGAAAAATCTCAGTCTGGATCGCCGTTAGACGGTCTGAGAATTGACTACAGTATTTTCCGAATAAAAAGCAGCAATGTTAGGTGCATTCGACAGGGACTAGGGGTAAAACTCACCAGTGTTTAAAGACGACTCAGTGCGGTGTAAGGTTGCTTATTTTTCGAGTCTAACATTTCCTTCGTTTGACATTTTTACAGGTCAATGTTGCCCTTAAATTACTGGGAAATTATTATAGATTAGGGAAGAATACAACTAAAAGCATCGTTAAATAACCAATTAATAAATACAAGGATTTCCAAAAAGATATATAAACATAAGGTTAATATTCCGTACTATGATGTGAAAATGACTATTTTAAGGAAATAACCACAGAAATTTCATTCTACGCATACTTCGTCCATATGTTTCAGTTTTATGGAGTTAAAATTTAAAACTTGAGAAACGCAAAGCTAATTTACCCCTCATTATTTCTTCATTGATCCAAACATTTCAGGTATGTTGTCCATATTTTCAATGTTTCGCTTCCAGAATGGCAAATTGTGGTTTACTCCTTTTAACCGAACTGGATCAACCACGACGAGCATTCTCCAAGCAAACAGACGTATAAATAATTTGACTATAAATCAAATAGGTCTATTATAATTTCAAAATATATCGATTAATGAAGATTGCGGTTTTTTTGGGTTATAACGCGTTGTAGTCTCGTTTTCTCTTACCAGAGTTTCGGAGTAACATCTGTGGTGGCGTCATAACCCACATGACCAAAATTCCCATTTTCACCAATTCATAACCTCACATTTAGAGCCATAAATATTTTATAAAATAATAATATTGTGCTGTTTTATGTATTTTTCTGAGTTACCTGTGATTTCTTCCGTGATGCCATTTTACTGATGTAGTTCATAATACGTCACATTCACTATCCATTATCACAACGTACTTTTCTATAATTAATTATCAGTAAACATCATTTTATAAATTGAAATCCATTTTATATGTAACTTTTAAAAGGAGCATTTTACAGTAACCTAATGTGAAGTGATAAAAAACATTGTTCACGCACGAACAGACGAACACTGCCCAGATGCATCTGTAATCCTTAATGCAGAGGGTGGTATTACCTCCCAACCGCAGACTGGTAGCGCTCTCTGGACACGCAGTACAGGCGTAAGGGGCTGAAAACTGAGTTCCCACTTAAAAGCTGAATTCATACAGAGTGAATACAAACGATCTGAACGGTTTCAAATATTTTTTTCACAAAAATTAAAAAAACGCGTAGATATGAAATCTACAAAACGAGAACCTGTTTGAGAAATTGTTTGTAGCATACGGGAGACGTAAAGTAACTCCAACGATGGCCGCTTGAAGCGCGACTGTTAACATGGCAGCAAAATGGCGACTAAACCTGACATGGCTAATTGAATTCGCACATGGAGGAACTTCATGTGAATTCTTCCGAGAGCCGCTAGAACAGCGGTCACAGAATTTTGTAGAATTAAACTTTATTATTAATACTATAATTTAATGTGGCCGTTGTATTTTATAGTTGCTTAATCGCACAATTCTTTCAACAGGAGCAAACCCTATAGACCTATAACGAACTGTGCGCCAGGGGAAAATGATACCCTACCCATAGCCGCAGACATTCCATTGGTCTGATCATAGTGATTAAGGCTTCTTCATGCCTTCAACTAAGACTTGCTCTAATGATAACAGAAATGATTCAATCTTTCGTAAACTTGATTATTTTGAGGGATGAGAAGAATCTTTGTGCAGAAGCCGTTGTGGCTGGGATAGTGGATATTAATTTACCTAATTTATTATAAGTCGATTCAAAAGCGGTAGCCATGGTAGCCATGCTGTTGTTATGAAATCAATATAGTAATTAGCAAAGAGATTTTCCTTCGACGTCTTCTGAGCCATAAAGGACAGTTACATCGATTTTTTTAGCAATGCACAGTCGAAGATAACACCATAAACTTGGATCACGTTTCGTATAAGCTGTTCGGAAATAGTAGCGTTAAATTTGTACGAGTAAAATTTCTCACAATTATATTTTTAAAAAATTAACTTTGGGCCTACATTCTGTTTATGATAAAAAATCCCAGAACTTATGCCAGCGTTAAAATCAGTAAAAGCAATGATTTTTTTATTCTGAATGTTACCATTATGAATGTACCTCATTAACCTGTTGTGGCGTGGAAACCACGTAGATATCAGGCCTCGTCGAATGTAACCGCAACATAAGTTGCTTCTAGAATCTGTCTTGAAATATCATGACTGGATTTAATAAAAGAGTTTTGAATGACCGATAATGCGCCTTTGAAAACAGTGTCTATTTCTTTTTAGTTATTTATAGAGACCATAATCTTTCAGTAGTTGTAAAAATAATTTAGACCTATAGTTATCTCTGTCAAGAGACAAATCAGATTCATTATAACCCTTATAAGGTAGAAGATGGCTGTCTTCTGGGTTGATCAGAAGTGAAAACCTCAAATCCTATACAGGTCGAAGGTAGTTCGTAATTTGCCAGTAAGAAAGTCACATCAATTAATCGAAGAAATTTCAAAGTTTTTACTACATATTTTATTGCATTCTGAGTTATTAAATGTAAACTAATTGTCACGAGCCTAATCGGTTCTGTAACAAAAATACAAGATTCAGTGTCTACTACAAATGTGTTGCAGAATATTCGTGTTTTAGTGTAAAATAAGTTACTTAGGTTGTTAAATCTCCCCCCCCCCGAACTCCTAGCACTATCACTTACTGTCTCCATCTTTAGGATCATGTATCACCACTTCAGCTCTGAAGATGGAGACGGTATGTTTCTCCGAAACGCTGGCATCTACCTACGAGTCTACACGGCGCCCAAATCCAGAAAACAGCATCATACTTTGAATAAAAATTAACCCATATCACATTTATAAAAAAAATAATTTGAAATCGATTATATCTTTTAACCACACAAAAATATGTCGCCCAGTCGCCATGAGGTTACTTTCTATTTTTCTATAAGAATACTGTACCTTTACAAGATATGAATATTTCTCAGAGGTCTATTGGTTTGCATAACCTCAGGATCCTGCTAAAGGAAAGAGAGAATTTGGTAGACCTAGGCGTGCATGAGAGGATTTTAATAAAACTTATCATAAAGATATCATCTAGCTCAGTATTGGGACAGGTGATGGGCTTTTGTGGAGATGGCAACGAATATCCTGGCTCTATATAGTGTGGTGAATATTTAGAATAGTTCCTCAAGAAGGAACCTGCTTTATGGAGATAATTAGTAGACAGAACAGAATCTCCATTCATGAAGTATTTTATCTTCTATAGAAATGCGAACCTGTTATGCCATTATATCTGAATAGACTCTTTCAAGTATGAAGTACCGCAAGCGATGGTCTCCGAAAGCGGGAAAGAAAAATTACATTTTTTTTTCAGTTATTTCATATCAAGGAAACGTGGGTTAAAATAAGCGAATAACAAGTTTATTTTGTAGGGCGTCGTAAATGCTGCATGCCACAGCTGAGTTCATACATTCAGGCATGACTGCTAATAGACCATTCATTTTCCAGCAGAGGCCGGCTGCCTAGCCAAAGTTAGTTGCCATGGAAATGAAGCAGCAACCCCGACCTTCTGCTGTTGCCGGGTCAGGGCGCAGGTGACTGACCTCTCCCCGAGCTCTGGGTTGATGCGTTGCGGTGTGACGCATGCGTACTAGGGTTTGAAGCGTGTGCTGAGCGGGCGGGTGTTCTTGCAAATCGGAACTCGACGATTCAATAGGAAATGTACATATTCCAGTTCGCTCTCGCCATAATTGTTACCTATGCATGGAACCACAAGCACTTTAGGTTACAAATTCAATGATATGTATGAAATATTCTAACACAGTCTGCAATTTAATGATGAGTGAATGTTCTAGACGAGTAGATGGTAAGTCTGTTTCTTTTGAGGAAGGTCCCGGGTTGGAATTTTAGCCAGGAGGCAAACTATTGTGGGGTTTATATGATTTTCCTTAGTTACTGTTAGAAAATATTGGGATAGACTTTGATGCCTAACATTTCGCTCTATATAATCATGCAGTCGAGAAAGCGTCATTAAACTGAGAATCAATCACTAACATGCAATCCAAGCAGCTTTTAATCATATTAAGAATAACATCCGAAGTTAAGATCGCTTGGGAGACATAACAGTAAATGTGAGAATAATATTAAAATGTATTTTTAAGAAATATTATATAGGTGTACACTGGACTTATCTGGTTCAGACAAATAACAGTGTCAGGATCGTATGAATACGGCAATGAATTCTGTTTCCATAAACGTGTAGAATTCATTGATAACTAATCAATTCTAAAACTACCAAAGCTATTTGTTTTCTCAATCCTGAGTAACACGCTCAAACTATATATTTATCCAATAGTGACATAATACGAGTATCAAGGCGTATTAATTTTTTATTACGTTAATTTAATAATCTTTAACCTAAGCGATAAATAAGGAAAATACAAACTCAAGTTATGATATTTTCAAGACCTTTCATAAAATCGTTTAACTAACAACTCCATGGGAAAAAAAAGCGATAGTCCACTCAGCAAGCTAAGAAAATACCCGTCTTTTATGAAATCAAAGATTCAATAAAGTGTTCACAATAATCCACCATTGGAGAAATAAATTATGTAACAGAATTAAAATAGACTATATCAGACAGACCCATATTAACAGCAGGGCAGAATTTTTCTCTTCGTTAACGCTTTCACATCGGTTGTGAGACCCATTCAGCCTTCTCTACAATGGATACCAGAGATAAAGCAGACGGGGCCTGAAGCTATCCACTCACCTCATGAATGAAAGGAGCTACACCTCCACCCCATACCTCTGCGTGGCTTGGTATTTAGTTTAGTACCAAGAACAAATATATCTTTTATTTTTACGGTAGACAAAAAGTCGTTCAGCTGTAACATAGTTCAGGCGTCTAGACGTCCGGTTTCAGTCTTAGGTGAGTGACGTAAAAAGAATTTTGTGGTGGGCATAGCGGAAATGGTGCATGTATTTATATAGTTTTTCTTGTTAATTTCATTCCACTTGTGCTCCACACTCATATAAAGACTAATTGTTCCCATCAAGTGGGCGACGGCCCTCACCAAGAACCACAAAATACCCTCGATTCTAAGTTAGCAGCTACATCTCTTACTCGGCACTTGAACGCTTGTCGACTTACTTGATACGTTTATACACAACGAACTGGTTTATTAATCATAATAGTCCCAAAAGTTGTTCGTTAGTTGTTTAAAGCTACCTCCCGAATAGAAGTCAATAGTTACATCAAGCTACTAAATTTCCGCAAAAATCAGAGTGCTCAATGGTAACGCTTTTCTACAAAGAAGTCACCAGAGTCCTATCTCGTTTCAGGCTTTATTCTTACGTCTGAACTATAAAAGAGAGTTCGTTGTAGAGTGGGGAAAGTTACACCTGTGTCTATGCACCACGCTGTTAACCATCGTAGGGGAAAGGCTAATTACATTTTCAACCCCAACACAGGACAGAGGCGAGAGATGAGCTTCACACAGGCTTAGCCTTTTTTCCTCTGGGCAAAATTCCCTCAGCTGAGTAAGCTCCAAAACTGCTATGAATTTGGTGGTAAAGACAAGAATTTTCCATATTCTTGCAGGCTACTAAACTCCGATGTAAATTTGGAATCAATATTTAAACTGATTGACACTAAACAGAATATGGAAAAGTTTGGAAACCCTCTCAGCCTTATAATTTATTTACATTTATTTATTATTATTTTTCTCTTGAGATTATTCTTTTTTCAGATTAAGTAGAATCTCACACTATACACAGTAATCTTAAAGTTAGGTGAAGATAATATCTTAGATTTGAGGATTTTACAGCGGTGAGTATGAAGATGTTTATCGTGG